GGGAGCAGCCGCGACCGCAGCCGAATAGGAGGCCGGAGTCGCGGACGGAGCGAAGAAGGCGCTTGTGAGCTGCCAAGAGTCGCCGGTGCCGGAACACCTCAAACTCTGGGCGGGAGCTCTTCAGGTGGGCAGAGCCGCCGTCGCCCTCCCGCACCGTGCCCCCAGGCCCAGACAGCGGGGCGGGGGTCTCCCCGGGCGCGGGACTGGCTCCTCCCAGGCCGAGCCCTCCGCACCGGCCTCTGGGTTTTCCTCGGTCTTGGAATTCCTGCAAACTAAGGCCGGAGGACAGTGAGCACCGCCGACCCGGACATTGGCTGTCTCCCCGACTGTGTCCGGACTGGAGCAACCGGGAGCCCCTCCTGCTGCCACCTCTCCAGCCGAGGAGGGACGGGCGCAATCGCACTGCCTGGTTGTGCGCCTCTCCCTTGCCTCCCGTTCAAGAACAAGCTTCTCTTCTCTCTCCATTGGAAATCCTGCCCGGAAGCCCAAAGCACCCGTCCGTGTGCCCTTCCTCAGCTCTCGGAGCACCCTTAGGAACATTATCTACTTATCAGGGCTGAGCGTCGCTCGTTCTTGGCTTGGTTTTTATTCCTTTCACATCCTCTTAACTGGCACTTCATGCCCAGGACCTTTTGGATCACCAGCTCCCTGGCCCTATCTATGTGACTACTCCCACCCACAGTTCCAGTTTCCTCTGGGCTCCCATCTCCAGCTCCCAGCGGATCTGGTCAGTCCCACCCCTGGGTGGGAGTGGCCAGGGGGCTCTGGCCCAGGATCCCCCACCCTGGAAGGCAGCTCCAAGGTAGCAAGAGAGCTGGGCCTCGGGTACGAACCTGGCAGCTCCGGAGTGGGTGCTCCGCTCACCCCACACAAGAAGATGAAAAAGCGCAAAGAGCTCAATGCATTGATTGGCTTGTCTGGGGAGAGCCGGAGAAAGAAGCCCAAGAAAGGCTCGGGCCACCGCCTGCTTCGCACTGAGCCTCCTGCTTCGGATTCCGAGTCCAGCTCCGAGGAGGAAGAGGAGTTTGGTGTAGTTGGCAGTCGCTCTCGCTTTGTCAAGTGAGTGATGTGGCGGTGAGGGGTGGGATGGGGAGAAGACAGCTCCTTGCACGACCAAGGGGGCAAATTGAAGAGAAGGAGAAGGGAGTTCTTAGGGGGGGAAAAATCAGTCGGTGTACTCCTTGGAAGGCAGAGGGAGAAAAGTTGTTTCTTCAGGTTCTCAATGAAGGATAAGTTAGAGATCTGTCTGTAAGTACAAAAAAGCGCTCTAAACCTAGGGTGGAAGTGTGGATGTGGGGAAGATGCCAGGAGCCCAGGAACACCAAGTCAGGAGTAGCAAAGAAGCTAAGAATAGGAACATAGGATCAGACAAGCTTTTGGAAGTAGCCTTTTTTTAAGGTCCCCCGAGATAGGGACCTTAAGACTGTAAATTATTTATTTATTTATTTTGCACTCTTGTGAGTCTGAATCTTGGTGATGGAAAAATTTGTTGAGGGACATACTGTACAAGCCTTGAGAGTTAATGGAGCATGGAGGACTAAGTGAAGAGGCAGCTTTTCCCCAAACCCACTTTCAAATGGTGCAGCCACTAGACTGACCCAGTAGTGAGTATTGAGGACATTGGGAATTAGGGCTCAGGGTTGGGAAAGGGCTGGAGGGAACCTGGAAGGTGCCTTGGACCCTCTCAGGGACTACATTAAAAGAAAAGATATTCTGCTGAGCAAGTGGAAGCAAGGGCTACTAGGCAGAAGGTTGGGGTGCGAAAAGAGGTTGAATCCTTTGAGTTTGTTTAGAGCAGTGGTTCTCAACCTTCCTAATGCCGCGGCCCTTTAATACAGTTCCTCATGTTGTGGTGACCCCCAATTTCATTGTTACAAATTGAACATAATTAAAGCATAGTGATTAATCCCAAAAACAATATGTAATTATATATGTATTTTCCGATGGTCTTAGGCGACCCCTGTGAAAGGGTCGTTCAACCCCTAAAGGGGTCGAGACCCACAGGTTGAGAACCGCTGGTTTAGAGTATCTTCGTCCTATTTTGTTAAAGGAAGGATTTGGCTTCTGATGAGCTTTGCCAGATTAGGTAGTTAAGGACAACCCTAAGTTTGGGTTGTGCAGATCTGATGAAATGGAATAGCTCAACTGGAATATTACCCTTCTGGGTTAGTTTAGACATGAGTGTTGGTTGAAATTTGGTGTGAAATCTAACTCTTTTCTGTGCTTCCTTTCTTTTAAGCCAGGGGTCCTCAAATTACGGCCCACAGGCCACATGCAAATACAAATATTGTATTTGTTCCCGTTTTGTTTTTTTACTTCAAAATAAGGTATGTTCAGTGTGCATAAGAATTTGTTCATAGTTGTGGTTTTTTTTAACTATAGCCCGGCCCTCCAACGGTCTGAGGGACAGGAAACTGGCCCCCTGTTTAAAAAGTTTGAGGACCCCTGCTCTGGAGTATGTGCGCACACGCGCGCGCGAGTGTGTGTATGTGTGTGTTCACACACATGTGAGTGCATATGTACTTTTAAGTGCAAAAATATAGTTTTAAATTCTGAAATGTCTGTTAAAAACACCCTTTAGTCACACCTAACATATGCCATTATAATACCTTTGCCTTTTGTAAAACCACTGCTCTTTGAATGCCACAATACTTACTCCGATCTAGCAACAGCACAAATTTTCTTTTAAGAAAGACTGATCAGACTGATTTCTTGCAAAGCAGCTTGGTCCAATGTCGTGGGCTCATTATCCAGCTGAAATATTGCTTTGCACCTCAACTCATCATTTATCATCACAGTTCCTCTGCACTTTCCTCAGAACAGTCTAATGAAGATGCTTGTTTATAAAGGGTATTCTTATACCCTGGGTGAAGTGTTCCTAAAATACTATACAATGTAAGTATAAAGAAAACAGAATCTTGTAACACTTCAAAATCTACTCAGTGGGATTGCACTATCTGATGGCTGGGCTTTTTTGCCCACTGGTAAAGCAATTATACATTATACATTTTTTTCAGCATTTTTATATTCTTTCTTAGCTGTCAACTTCAATGTAGTAACAGTTATTTGTCTTAAATACAAACAAAAAACAGTGCTTATGCACCATCAGGAAAAATAGCATCTGAAAAATGACATCTTAGTCAACATTTAGGGCACAAAAGGAAAGCACTAAGGGCCAGGAGTCTAGAACGTTGGTTAACCTCCACCTGTTGCCACTTTATACTTCCTCATTGCTCTGGGCTATTTCCTTCTTCCTCATAGGCTATTTGAGAAAGAATATGGGAATCTGTCAAAAAATTTCCTTCTTAAAAATTGTATAAGAACATAGGAATGGGCAATAATAATAGCCAACATTTATGAAGTGCTTACTGTGTGCCAAGTCACAAATAAATATTTCTCATGAGTAGGTTTCAAAGTGTAAGAGACTTTCTTAACTTATGGAGTTTTATATATTCTAAATTATAAAGTTGTATTTTGCATATGCAAAGTACTTTTTCTAAAAGATGTGTTTGCATGCTGGCTTCTACCAGATTTAACTTAAATATCTTCGTTTACCAACACTGAGATCTTCGGTTCTCAGTTTCAAGAGTTAATTTTCTAAGCTAAGGAACCAGTTCCAAGTTAATCACAAATTCCCTAACCTTAGCAGCATTAACACATCAGGAAACTGACCACCAGGCTTTCCTAAGATCATAAAGAAATCTGGCCCCAGAACTGGAATTAGAGTTCTTTCCTTACTTCCCATATTAAGCCTGTGGAAATCACAACATCCTAGTTTTCCTTCACTCCAGCTTCTCTTTGCTGCCTGCAGTTACTAAAGTTCTGAACCTGATCTAGGGACAACTAATCCTTAGTGTGTTGATGACATTCCTAGTGATGTTGCTTGAAAAAAAAAAGCTGAACTACTAACTTTGGTTTTCTTCTAAGTTTCTGATTTAGGAAATGGCCTTGGGTAAGTCATTCTCTGCCAGAATCATCCTGACTTACATGTTTTATCAACTAGTGGAATCAGAGTATAGTGTAAAAAAGAATGAGATTTGTATTCCAGTTGTTGTTCCTCCTTAATGGTTGTCCTGAGCTGTATTGCAAGGTGTTTCTAAGGCCAGTGTTTTCTTTGTAAGGAGAAATCATTACTTGGAAATGAGGTTTTCAGAAACAGTTTTAACTGTAAACAACCAGCGAAGACACCTGTCTGTGCCGTCATCTCCTTAATTAGTTGGACTTCTTAGGTTTGTGCTACAGCTTGTTTTGATCACATGTAGCAATCATTTATTTATACATTTCAAAACATTGCTCAATTCTACCTCTCGAATTCCTTTCTCTGACTCTTCTGTGCCTGTGTTTACAGGACACCCAAGTAATTTATACCTTTTTCAGCGAATTTCTTTGTCTAGAAATGCAGTTTTAAAGAATATGTGTAATAGACCTGGCAACAAGTCAACAAGTATTTATTGAGCACTTGTTAATCCCAATTCCTGGAAATACTCTATTCAGGAGATTCCAGGAATTGTACCCTGAACTATGAGACCCAATTTATATAATTGAGCAACATTCCCCTGAGACTCAGGCCCCTGAATAAAGCAGATTTAGAATTGTCAGTCCCACTGCATTGTTGGCTTTGGTTTGCTACAATAGAAATGCCAGCACCTACAATGTCTAAAGCAGGACTTCTGAGGGATAGGGTCTGGGCCCTGGGGCATGTTGTCAGTCCATGAACTGAGCCATTGTGAACTACTTGCCCAAGAGTTTTTTGTTGTTGCTGTTTTGTTTTAATCCTCACCCAAGGATATTTTTCCATCAATTGGTTGCCTCCTGTACACACCCTGACCAGGGTCGGGGCCCAACCCCAGAAGGAGCCTGCAACTGAGGTACGTGCCCTTGACCAGAATCGAATCTGGGATCCTTTGGTCCACAGGCTGGTGCTCTATCCACTGAGCCACGCTGGTTAGGGCTCAAGAGTTTTCTTGTGAAAACTATTACCTTGACTAAATGAGGTCAATCTTGATCAACCAAAGGACTTGTATGCATGCATATAAGCCAAATCAATGGACACGGACAACAGGGGGATGAGAGCATGAGTGTGTGTGTGTGGGGGGGTGTTAAAGGGGGAAGAGGACACATTTGTAATACCTTAACCAATAAAGAAATTTAAAAAAAATAAATAAATGAGATCAATCTTGTAAAGCTTAAATAATCTTTCTTGAATTCTGCTTTAAATATATTTCAACCTATATACCTCTTGGTTTTCAGGAGAACAGTGGAACTCACTGACTTAAATAAGATCATCTGCTATTCTGACTTTAACACTTTTTTGAAAAATTCAGAGCCCATTGTTCTTCATTTCAATAAATTTTCCAAGACACTTGTGAGGAAAGGAGGTAAGGTTGCTGAAACAGAAAGCAAAGCAGGGAGGTTTTATGTTTTTATCTTGTATTCAAGGAGTAACTTGACCCTTAAGCTAAAAGTACTGGCTGGCCTTGAAACTCCTGGCTCAGTATTCCAGGTACTCCAAAAGTTATTCTAAGGAAGATCTATTCCTAATCATCCCTCTTTTTCACTCAACTTTGAAACACTAGAGTAATAAAAAAAAAAAAGAATTTGGAAAAGAAGGAAAGATGAATGAACTAAGCATCTCCTAAATGATCTTGTGATAATGAGGCTATTAGGATATATGTATTTATGGTAGCTGGAGTATACTAGAAAGAGTGCTGGTTCTAGGAGTAAAAGGCTTGACTGTTAAATCCTGGCTTGCTCATTAGTAGCTTTAAAACTTGGATGAGTCACTTATTCTTTCTGAGCCTTCACTTTCCCATCCATAAAACAATTTTAAAGTATATGTGTAATAGACCTGGCAGTCAACGAGTCAACAAACATAAAGATGTATTCGTGCTATCAAAGCACTTTGAGCATTCCTCTGTCATAGTGTATGTAACACCATATAGTAACTGTGACAATGCCTCATGCTTCACTCCCTGCTGA